CAGGCTGCGGGGGCCAGACGGGGCTGTGGGTGCCGACCCCCAGGGCACGGGGGGGTCCAGGGCAAGGCAGCCCCCAGGAGCCAGCAGAGGTGTCCGCGGCCCACCGAGCTGGCCGGGTGCCAGGAGCCCACCAAGACTCTGCGCCCAGCACGGCCACCAGCCCCTGTGGCGAAGGGCCCTGCAGGGCTGCGCCCACCCGCCAGGACCCAACGGGGCCACAGGTCCGAGCGTCAGAGCAGGGCCACCCCGTGCTGTGCCCCCCAGCCCCGAATGGAGGGGCCGTGGGCACCCCTGCCCCCCCACGGCCCCTCATGGCCATGCCAGCAGCGTCGTCCTCCAGCAGAGGGGACGGGCAGGGGGTCCGCAGCTGCCAGGCGCCCGGGTCGCTCTTCATCTCTGCGGGGGGCTCAGGGGCAGGCGGCGCTCAGCACCCCTGCTCCAGGCTCAGCACCCAGGGTGGGCATGAACACCTGCAGCAGAAAACGAGCCCTGCGCATGGCCGGGGACGCAGGATCCGGCCCCATGGAGCAGCAGCAGCGCCGGGGCTCCAACGCTGCGGTGGGGACCATCCTGCAGAGGCTCCTCCGGGTCCTTGTGCCCTGGGCATCAGGCAGGGACCGCACGGCCCCAAGGAGCCCCACTGCGGGCCCTGGGCACGAGTGGCATGGGAAGAGCGAGGTGCGAAGGGACCCCCAACACAACGGCGTTGCAGCAGGACGCCTGTCCAGCGACGATGAGCTCTGGCCGCATGGCCGTTTTGGGGGAAGAGCCCCAGGCACCCTGCAAGGCCGTTGGGGCGGCAGCAAGGCCAGGGCCAGAAGTCCTGAGAGCAGCTCCTGCCTGGCTCCTGCAATCCCTCCAGAGGCATCCACCAGCACAGAGGGGACCACAGCATCCTTGGGTCCCCATGAGCGTATTGGTGTCCCCCGTCACGGCCCCCAAAAGCAGCAGGCACCTCAGGCAAGCACCAGATTGTTTGGTGGCGTTGCCCTGCTCCCGGGAGCACGCAGCAGGGACTCGCCAGGCAAGGAGAGGGCATGCGGTCTGAGGCGGCGGCCACCTCGCAGGGGTGGGGCAGGCCACGGAGGGCAAAGGCAGTGGTCCTGGCGTGGGGGGCAGCGCTCTGCCAGCCCTAACAGCGCCCCAGCCTCCAGGGCATGGTCCTGGAGTACCCACAAACACAGCAGCTTCAAGGGGAGACGGGTGCGCAGCAGCATCCCACGGGGGATGCCGAGCCAGGCAGTCTTGCCACACCGCACCTTTAAATCATCCAGTGAGGAAGACACCTCCAACAGGGACAGCTCGGCCTCACTGGAGCACTGCGATGCCCATGCCACCAGGCACGTGTGCCCATGCCACCTGCACCAAGCCCACAGCTGCAGCGCCCAGGGGACTGCGCCAGCCCTGAGCAGGGATAACCGCCGCTCGGTGCAGGGCAGGACGCTCTCATGGCAAAGCAAGCTGTCGCCGTCCCTGGAGAGCTCTAGCACTGAGCACAGTTGCCGTTCAGCCTCCAAAGAGAGGTGGTGCCAGGCTCTGTGGGGTGCTTGGTTTAGAAAACCTCTATTTTCTTAATAAATTACTTATTTTCTTATTGAGAGAGCTCAGGGGGAGGGAGGGGGCCTCACTCTGCCAGGGGGGCAGGCTATGCTGGGGATGGGAAAGGGGAGATGGGCTCTGGAGCCCCAGGGAAGCTGTGCTGTCCTGACAGGAAGATGAGGAGAGGAGGATGGGCTCATTCCTTTGGGAGCTTGTTCTCAGCCCTGGCTGGCCATGGCAAGGGGACAGCCTCGGGCGCTCTGTGATCCTAGCCTGGGGTCACAGCACCCCAAACACTGCATTGCCCCGTGACAGATGGGACTGCAGGCTCCAGCAGCAATAGGAGCAGGCTGCCAGCTCCTCCTGCAGCAAGTCAGGCTTTTCACACTGGCAAGGACAAGTCCCACCTTAACCTGTGATCCACAAGCTGGCTCTGCCCTCTGTATGGGACGGCAGAAGCTGGAGCAAGGCCACGGGGCTGTTTTACACCTGGGGAACAAGCCCCCAGCCCTGCAGGATCCCCTTGCCCCGCTGTGGCCTCAGAAATAGTCCTTTCCCTCACAAAGCCATCTCTTGAGCTGGTCACACCAGCGGGAATCTACGTGCGCCTATCCAAGGGCATCTGCACGTGAGTGCAGTTGCATGTGAATGATTTGTTTTTCATATTGCTTCTGAAGCAGCCTCAAGTTACTCCCAGTTGTCTAACAGCAATTTTTATTCTCTTCCGGCCTATTGCTTTGCTTGTGATTGTGCACAGACAGAAAGAGTGCTCACCCTACCACCACCCCAATACACAAAACCTGCACACCTCCTCTAGGGACAAGGAATGATTGCTCCAGGGCGCTGCTGTCATTAAGGCTGATGAACACTGAAGCACGAGGCTGGAAGGATCTTCCCCCTCGCTGATCCTCCACACCACTGAACATCACCTTCTCACCTCCTACAAGCCTTCCCCCACGGCACGTCCATACAACCCCAGCACGATGGGGGCCCAGCCTGGCAGCGTGCGTCAGACCTTGACGCAGAAGAAACTTAAGTCCTAGCTGGATTCCAGGGGCTAGCCGGGCCTTCTCGGCCCCTTTAAGGGCATGGTGGCTTGCTGCTGGCCTGGAGCCCCCTCTCGTGGGCAGCTCTGGAGTGGTTTGCCCAGATGTGAGCTCACCAATCCCGTTAAGAGAGCACCAGGCACCAGAAAGCTTTTGCTGGCCCCACAGCAGTACTCCAGTGCTGCCTCACTCAGGAGGGAGTGATATAAGATATCCAAGCCCCTACAGCAGTTTCCAGCTGGGATCCTGCCTGATGCCTGCTGGGCAGTCCCGATTCCTTTGAGATTCTGGAGTTTTTGCTCAGGGGATATGCATAGTAGCAGCAAACACTCAAGTCTCTGAAAACTATTACAGTTCTTAGATGGAAAGCTTCCTTTGGCTTTCAGCCCAGGCCACGAGACTGCCCATCCCATGCACACTGGAGATCAGACAGCTCTGGAACTACCCTCAGTTCCAGTTCTGCCCAGAGCAGCACCAGGTTTGGGTTTGGTAAGGGACAATTCAGCAAAGAACTTGAAATGAACCGCCCATCGCTATCACACTTTGCCCCTTGCAGAACAGCCAGCGCTTGTCCGCCCCTTCCTGGGCGCAGCCCTTCCTACTGCTTGTGCGCAGCCCTGACAAGGCACAGCTAACACCCCCCTCTGACTGAGAAAGAAGGGGCCAGGAGCCCTAACTCGCAGCAGCCGCTCGAGTAAGCGGTGGCAGGACAAAGGCAACAGTCCCTCATTTCTCTCAGCGCAGGGATGGGAGAACTTCCTCAGGGGAAAAACCTTGTCAGGCTCACATCCTCTCGGGTACGAGCCCACCATGCCACCGCTAACAGGACACAGGCAGCTCAAGCAAATGGGAGGAAGCAGGTTACCCACACAAGGAGGCTCCCCTGCCTCAGCCCAGGTCCGGCGTGACTGAAGGGGGTTTACCTGCCCTCAGACGCAGACCTGCCAGGCTGAAACTGCTGTACCAGAAGACAGTGGGATTCTCTTACATAGATTGCAGAGAGCTCTCTAGGGCTCACTGCTAGAGAAAGCCACCAGACAAGGCTAGCCTTTAGGGGGATTAGCATTCACACTCCTGCCCCAGGCAGGGACCCCAGCACCCATCCTAGGCACAGGCATTTTATTTCTCTCTTCATTTCTCATGCACAGGACCCCACAAAAGGACACCGTCTGCCTTCATCTGACCTCTGGCTGCTTCCAGTTCATGCAAGGGATAAAATTTCCTCATCACAAACTACCTGCAGGCTGCACAAGCACCACATACAGCTGCAACTCTGAGCTTGGCCCCAGTCAGTCTGTGCCGTGACTACACCGAGGGGAAGGAGAGGCAACCCAATTAGTGTTTTAGGACTTTACTATGGTCCACAGTAACAGCAGAAAGGGACTTTTAAATAAGTTATAAACCAAAAGATATTCCATGGAAGTGCAAGATTTGCAGACAGTGGCATATTAAGAGAACACCAAGAGTGTGCCTTTGATTCAGGGCGGACAAAGTGCAGCCACAAAGCAAGGGCGCCCCCAAGAGCCTGCGCCATCACTCGCAGCACGCTCATGCTGAGCAGAAAGACACGCTCACGCTGAGACGACAGGTCCCTGGGTGCGAGCTGTGCTGCAGCCTCTCCTGAGATTCCCAAGGCCAGCATCGCCAGGGCCCCCGCCTGCGGCTCCCCTCGCTCCCAGCACTGCCATCACTCTGCCGCAGGTTTCACTTGCTTGGCCATTTCCAGCTGCGTCAGCATTTCATCCCACTGGACAAACTGCTTGGAGAGAAGCAGGGTCTAGACGTGGCTCTTAAGGAAAGGGGGATGTGGAAACTTCAGGGAAGGAAACTGAGGTCAAAACACCGTCTGAGAACCTTCTGGCAGCCTGACAGCGCCGTTGCAACCCTGACTGACAGATGAAGAGACCTGGGGTATTAGCATGTGGAAAGTGCACACTGAGTCAAACTGCTGAAGCCCTGAGCCATCCTACAGCATCAAACACTGACTGATGCCGTATGTCCAGGAACACTCCTGAACACTGACACAGCACAGCATTTCAAGGGACTTGATCCAGAACGGCCCAAAGCTCCCTACCCTCCAGGCTCAGGACACATCCCAGTGCTCCTGTGCGCCAAACTACACTGTGAGCAGATCCAGCACAGAGCCTCTGGCTTGCAGGCAACAGCTCGTGTTTCCTGTCTCAGAGAGGTGGGCAGTTCTGGCTCTCGGGTAGCCCTGTGACACAGCTCTGCTCCTGATAGGGGAACGACAGGGACACAGATGTCATGGCACCAGAAAGGACAATGCTATTAAACCTGGCGCTGGGGGCTGTCTGCTGCCAACAGTACGTGATGGGGCAAGGAGGCACAGGAGACAGACTAGCAGTTCAGCTGTGTCATGCCCAAGGCATCAGCTAAAAGGATACCATTTTGTTGTAGTCTTCAAGGAGCACCTTGACAGCATCAGTGACAGCTTCACACTGCTCCTGTAAAGAAGGAAGCCTTAGCGAGTGAGCAATAAGCTCCAGGACATTTGCCTTCCCAGCTCCTGGCAGTGGAAAGGGGAAACTCATCCGAAGCCAGTACTGAGATAAGAGCTTCTTGTAGCTGGAAGCGCTTTGACAGTCAGGAGAAAGGAAAGGTTTCACAGAAACATCAGCACACACAAACTGCCACACGGGCTTGCACTACTGCCTGCCTCTCCTCAAGCTATACCTCACTTGCTGCAGAAGGAAAGCATGCTGTTGCACAAGCCTGGCCACCGGGTATTAAAACACTCACAGCAGAACTGCTGAAAGGGTGCATTAGGTGCTGCCCAGGATGTTCATCACCAGCTCAAGGAACGAACACATGGGGAACGGAAGGGAGAAGGGACAAGGTGACAGTATCAACAGCCTTCCAGAGATTGGGGCTCTGGCCGAGCACAGTGCTTTACCTCAGCGTCCCAGCGAAAGTAGGAAAGCCAGCTGGTTAAAGCCAAAGCAGTTTATGAGCTGCACCCAAACCTCTGGGACAGGCTTATGCTAGGCAGAGCGCTTTTCCAACCCATACTCAGTTCTCAGAAATCCTGACTAGCCCTCCAACAGGGTGCCTAAGTTTCTTCAGAACAGCAGGATAAATATCCTGGACAAGATGGAAAAAAATAGCATGAACAGCTAGACTATTGCAAACACTGGAGTGTTAGTACACCCACTAACAAAAGGCCCCTTCTCTTTGCTAGCCAGTGCTGCCATGAATATTCACATTACCTGCTGCTGTATGTGGATTTGAGAGAGTCGCTGTAGTTTTGCTGCGTGGTCAGGAACGGCTGAAAGCACAGAAGAGAAGTCTGTTTGGTTCGTTTTACATCATGCAGATTAGCTACCAGAATAAAAACAGTTACTTCTCCAAAGGCAAACCACAGCACAACTCTGCTCTCTGAATGTAAATGCCACATGCTGGAAACACACCCTTTATACTGTAAAATGTGCCTAGCTACGTTGTACATTAAATATCAAGTTCATGTTACTTTACTTCAGGATGCCATGAGTTAGGTGATGCCTGCACTAAGGGTTACTCAAGAGCTACATCAGAATAGCTGGAACATTATAGCAGGCAATTAAAAGGGAATCTCTGCCTATGCCAGGAGCAGAGACGTTCTGGCAGCAGGCAGAAGTGGCTCCGTGTCAGTCTGGTAATCGTACACAGCGTGTAGCCTCTGGTCTCTGCAAAGATGTTGTCTCTAATCTGCCTCTCAACTTACTCAATCAACCTTATGCATCAGCCCCATTCCCTACTGATATCTGCTGGATGACAGCTACGACACTCAGCTACGCTCTGCACGATGCCACGTGCTTTTGGATAGAGGACTTCCTTGGGACAGTGGTGCAGCATGAGGGATGAGCAGACAGAACACTACGTTTACATCTGCATTACTCACACTAGGTTACGTGTTTAGGTCTCCTTTTCACAAGTCTGACACTTAAGAGAAAAAAAGTGGCACAGGCTGCAGGTAGCTGGAGAACAACATTTGCAGCTCAGAAAAAAACTTGCAGAAGAACATACAGTACCTTGGATACAGGAGCTGTCCAAGATGGGCTGGAGGTTCTTCACCTGCTCCAGAAGGGCTGCCTGGGAAGGAATAAACTGCTCCTCTGATTGAAGGGAGATGAGAAGGAACATCAGTGAACACAAGACAGTGCTTTGGCTTTTTACAAATACTGGAAAGCCAACTTTGGAGTAACGGGTATGGATCAGTTTTTTAAACTGCTCACACCTAACACAGCAAAGAGCATCTTGTCAAATATAAAGTATTTACAAACTAAATAAAAAACTAGAAGGAAGGCGTGCAAATCCCTGGTTGAAGACTCCAAAGCCTCTGAGTACGTCATGCACAGGACCCCACAAAGTACTCAGAGGCTTTGGAGTCTTCAACCACAGACTGCCCTTAAACAGTCAACTGTAGCCCCAAAAGGTGACCTGTCCTACCCCAAGCTGACGATGAAAGAGCTGGGACTGATACTTGCATTCCAGCTGCCCCTTTCCAGATTATCTAGCTATACACAAAAGGACTTGCGCTTGATTTTATTTAGCCTTTTGTGCTGCTCACCACTGAATTCTCCTTCACCCTAATATAAGACAGGAGAATCTCCACCAAGCTTCATTCATGGACTATAAAAAAAATGGAACCACTTTCTTTGGGAAAAATAGGATAAGCGTAGAAAGTGTTCAACATACATCCAAAGATCTACTTTTTTTTGGTCACAGTCCAGTGAATATTAGGACTGGGCTGTGGGAAACTGTCTTAGTTCCAGTTTTTCTTCTCATTCTATTATCAATTCAGGGTTGAACTACTCAACACTAAAAAGTTTAGACTTGATAAAGCTGTGGCATGAACGTGTGCAGGGAAGCACTAGATCTCCTTGTTCTAATCACATCTCTGATCAGATCCAAAAAGGGTGCCCTTCCAGACCTCATAAGCTTAAAAACAAAAAAAACAAAACCCCCCACCCTTTTCCAGCCTATTTAAAAGACAACTTTTGCAGTGTTAAAGAACTGTCTCCTCTCATTTCCTGCCATACCTGCCAAGATGAACTGCAGCTTCATGGCATCCGGAACGGCCATTCTATCAATGTACTGAGGATCTAGGTATTTTATTACATCTTCAACTAAAAGCAAAAATAAATATGGAGACAAGAAGTACAAGAAATAGTATGACCTCTGCAAGTGCAAGTCTCCACTGTGCTGTACACATAAGGTTACTTTGTGAATAATGTTCATTTAGGGTTCTTTTTGCCAAGAATCATGAATCGCGACAGCACTTTAAAATAGGTGACTTTGGAACACTGTAACCAAGAGCTTACAAAACGACTCAAGCCCCATAACTGCTTGCTTGCAGAAGCACAGCCTGTGTAACACCTGTAACACTTGCTTTATATTTGGTTAGCAATGCTAAAGGCACATCCCTTCTTTGTCTTCCTGCCTTGAAAGCGAAATTAGCAAATAACTGGGTCTCATTTTACTGCTGAACAGAAGCAAGCTTAGAATCGGCTACAAACATACAATTTATGTTTTTATACCAAAGAGGCACCATGGTCTTGGACTACACAGCCTGCTACTACTGCAACACCAGTGACCATAGAAGTAAATTTGGTTAAGAGGTGGCTTAGCAGCACAAAGCATCACTCCTGCATCCACTTCAGGTACACTCCGGTTCAGAGACAGCTCCCCAGATGCAGCCACTGGTGGCAGCACGTGATCCTTCTTGTTCCAACTGCACATGAAGAGAAGGGCTCTAAAATGCACCAAAAATCTGAGCACGTGAACATGCAAGAAGCCATGCTGGAAGCTCATGCTCTAACAATACTGAAGAGCTGCATTTCACGTGGAGCTAATTGTCGCGTATTGTTCTGACGCAGGGAAACGTAAAGCAAATAACAACACGTTTAAGCAGGCCCTTTCCCACCCCCCACACAAGAAGCATGAGAACAAAGACTCCCTACTCAGTTATTTACTTATTTCTATACCAAATATAGAAAATATGAAGCCAAAAGCAAAGGTGCTCGCAAGGGGGCGGCGGGGACATGGGGACATTTTCTGTTTAAAGACGTGAAGCCTCCAAGACAAGCGATTTTGTTTTTCCCCTCTATTTCTTTTTACACAGACCCGCCCGCCCGCAAGCACGAGAAGGCCACTCACTTTTCTTATACAGGATTTTGATCCTCTCCCTCTTGCTTGCGATGTTACCCAGCGCCACCTGCACCTTCACCAGCCCGTCCGCTACCTG